CATTCTTAGAAGAGTGGTACATGTCAGACAGAGAGGGCTTCATCTGCCCAACCATCAAAGTAGGTCCTGGGAAGTTTCCTACTCCTTGGCAGGTCCCCCTTCCACAACAGCCAGTCCTGTGGGCATTTACATCCACTGGGTTCATCCAAGTTTCACCTGAGATTCCCTGGATCTGTCCATTAGCCCAAAGGACTTGGTGTCTGCAGAGGTTGCTGTGAAATTCCCCTTACCTCAGGGTTAGGTGGGCAAGCAGGCACTTGCCCCTCACCCTCTGGAAACTGGAGAAGCTCCTTATACGTTTCCATAAAGAACAAATGTTTTTAAAAACCCTGCCTTTGCTTCTGGTGACATTTTTTCAGTTTGCATGATCTGTGAACATAAAGAACAAATGGTTTTAAAAACCCTGCCTTTGCTCCTGGTGACATTTTTTCAGTTTGCATGATCTGTGTAGTGGCATGCAGTGCTCAGAGCCACGATGCAGGGAGTATGTGTGTTTGTATTTGTTTGGTCCCATCTACATCAGAGAGCCCTTGAAATGCAGCCCAGCTGGCAGATCTGGTTAGGCTGGGCAACTTAGCTTTAGATGGTTTTTTGTTTGTTTACAAGTGATTTTGGCCACAGACAGGGACACACAGCTGGTGGTCTGTGCACTGTTCCATGATCAGGCTGAGCTGGGCTCTGAGCCGATGAAGGCTGGAGTGGGGCGAAGCAATTCCATCTCATTCTTGGCCTGATTTGGAGGGGGATTGGACAGGCTGCTACTCTGCTGTCTTCTTCTGTGATCTGGCATCTCAGGGCCTGGTTTGGCTTTGCCTGTGTGGGCAGCAGCATCCAGCACCCCTCTGCCATGGCAGTGGAGCCTCTGCTTGCTCAGGTGTCCTTCCCTGCAGCCCAGAGAACACCTCTTGCTGTGAGCAATAACTTGCAATACAAATACCACAGAAATACAGGCATTTCTCTTCCTGCACTGGTTGTAATATTCAGGTGGGAGAGGTGTGTCTGATGTCTCAGAGAGGGTTTTGCAAGTGGTTTTTGTGAGATGTTCATGTGCCAGTGTGGTGCATGCTGGCTGAGGGGACTGTGGGAGCATCCATTGCTCGAGGAGAAGTGACACACTGGAGCTGTGTAATGATACAGATGTGCTGTGTGCCAGCCTGAGCTTCTGCAGAAGACCCATGTTGGGGGTTCTGGGGAGAAGAAGCAGTGCCAGCCCATCAGTACTGCAAAGTGGGTGCTGTGGCAGCGCTTCCCTGCAGCAACATTGTGATAAAGCATGGTGGAGGAGGAGGCTGACAAAAGCTGTGACCTTCTAGGCAAGATCTGTTTGCCAGCCTGAGCTTCTGCAGAAGACCCATGTTGGGGGTTCTGGGGAGAAGAAGCAGTGCCAGCCCATCAGTACTGCAAAGTGGGTGCTGTGGCAGCGCTTCCCTGCAGCAACATTGTGATAAGGGATGGTGGAGGAGGAGGCTGACCTTCTAGGCAGGATCCCAAACACAGGTAAAACATTAGCAGACTGCTAGAGATGTGGGCATGGAGGAACCTGTTAAATTAAAGCCAAAGTGTAACAAGAGAGATGTTTGCTTTGGGAGACAACGTGTGCCTGTTCTGCACACTGAAGGTGAGGGAACTCTCTGACACGTTTTACTTCATTACCACAGCAGACCTCTTGCACTGCAAGGCCACAGAGCTCCCAATTCTTCCCTCCCACATCCCCTTCCCTTTTAAAACAAGGGGTTTCTGACAGCTTTACCAGTGCCTCCATCTGACAACCCAGAACATCCTAAATGGTGGGAATTGCTCCTTTTCTTATCTCATTGTGGAGTTTCCTGACCACACTGCCCAAGTTCGCTGCCCAGGCTGATGCTGTTATCGAGCTGCCCACGTCTCTGCTACCTGCAGCCTGGTCAGTGGCTGGAGATGAGGGAAAGGCTCTCAGCAAGGCATCCTTTGGTGGAGCTGTTTGAATGAGCCAGTTCCATTACCTGCCTTGCTGGTGGTCCCAGAGAGGCTGCGGGGAAGTCTGTGGCTTTATTTTCTTAAATGGCATCAAATGATGGCGTTTAAGACCCTACCAGGAGCAAATGAGCTCTTAGGGCAGCATTTCTTGTCCTGTGTACAAGGCTTTATTAAATTAACTTTGTACTCAAATCACCCCACATATCCCTCTCTGGAGAGGTCTAACTTAACTGTGGGATAAAATTTTGCAACCCTATTTTTGTCACACAGGTGACTTGTGTAACAAAACCTTTACATGCATTAATGTCATCCAAGTTTTGGCAAGCTCCAAAGCAGGCTGTCTCTAAATCCTCTATTTCTGTCTTAATGCTGCACCCATCCCAGAGTTACGTATGCAATTCTCTTGCTTTACGTGCTTTCCACATAAGGGACAATGGATTTCCTCTCCCACACACCTCTTGCAAATTTACAGCTGCTGTGAGAAAAACCCCTGGTGCTGTTGCCATCCAAGTGATGCCTTTTGCCCCTGTGGGTACCTGCAGCTTGCAATTGCAGCTGGGCAGCAGCACTGCCAGCCTGCAGGATGGAGTCTTGCATACTTTCAGCTACTTCTCTGTTATTTGCACTTAATAACTGACTCAAGAGTTCATCTATAAATATGTATTTAGGCCTGATCTTAGTAAATTTTCCATCTCTCAGCCACAAAGCTCTTGTTTTCTGCAATTTCCTTTTTGTATTTTCTCTTAACCCTAATCCATTTTAACATTAATGCATTAGTTTTGAAACAGCTGGTGTATTCTCAGCCTCTTCTTCTTCCCTACCTGCTGATTTTTTTTCTTTCCTCACTGTCCTCTATACTTCTGCTGTTTGCAAAAACCGGCTTTTCTCCTGCCTCTCCCTCTTCACAGCTCCCACCATCTGTCTCTCTACAAATACAAAGCTTTAGGGGAAATGATTCACTAGGCTGCTAGCTCATTACTCACACTCTCCCCATCATGGTTTCTGTCCTTGTAGGATGCTCTAACTAATGTAAAGATCAATGAATCCTGGGAATTGTTATTCGATTAAAAAAAAAAAGGCCCCAGCAGTTAAATAGATTGGGCTCTTTGTATTTCCCAAACAGCAAAGCTTAGTTTTATTTCCTCACTCTGCTAGTACTGTTTTGCAGAAAAGGATCATTCAAACAGAAGAATAGAAATAATCACTGGACCATTTAATGCAACCTTGTGCATCACATGATGCAGGAATTACTTAATGAAATTCCCTGGCCCAAACCAAGCAAATCTGTGGTAAATCTAGAGCACATATTTTCAGCTGACAGCCAAAATGATGAAAGGAATTTACTACCCAGCCTCACTAATCATTCTGAATGCTTAACTGCACTCCCTAACACGCTGCTTTGCAAGCAGCTAAACTGACACAGCCTCATTCCCTACATGCTTCTCTCCTCCAGACTTGTGCAGGCTGTGTACCCCAGAATGCCTCCCAGCCCCCTTCCAGCTGTCCACCTCTGGGAAATCCACCTCTGGGAAGAGACCAGAACCTCTCCCTCCTCAGCATGTGGGTTTGGGCTCACTCTTTGCTTGGGTAAGTCTTTCCAGGAAACTCACAGGCACTTAGTATCTTTGAGCCCTCCCTATTAAATGTGGCAGAAAGTGGCTAAGAGGCTCAGAAGCCAATTGACACAGACTATTTCACAGTGCTAATTCAGATACCTTAAAATAGAGGCAGCCATACTGAGTTGGCAGATAATGCCCCAGCATTTCAGGAGACTCGCTGAACCTGGAGGCTGAGCTCAATGTTGTAGTGCACTCCAGGTCACCCCAAATGTGAACCCACATCCCACTCCTTTTGTGTTTACTTTGTTGACCATTTAAGATAAATTTCTGTCATGATTTTAGGCTGTCACCACATACTACAAAATTATTTTCTGAATTGACAATTTATCGCATGAAAAACAGACCTCCCTTCCCCACATGTAAGTAGGTGCCAAGAAGTACCACTGCCTAACACAGTTTTATTGTGCCTTCTCTTGAAGCTGCTGGTACATCAGGTATTAGCCTGTTTCAGTTGCTGAGCTTCCCTTTTGAAACTGAAGTTGCCAGAAGCACAGAAAATACCACAATAAAAATCATTGGAGTTGACAGCACTGAATACACCATTCCTTTAAATGGCTGCAATTATTTTTGCAAAACTCTGCTAAAGAAAATCTGAGTTTTATTTTTTTTCCCCCATGAGCACCACAGAACATGTGCTGCATCAACACACCATGCTGGCACCACTTCCACAGAAAGCTAATTAAATAATTTGGATACTGTATGAGGCGTATCAACTTCTGGGCTAATTTTCTTTTCAGGCTACCAAACACATGTACTTTTTTATAAAGCTGTATTTGGGTCATTCTATGACAAATATTAAAACTGAGGAGGATCTTGGTATGACTGCTCTAAAGAATAAGGGCTGCAGAATTTTAAGCCAACGGGGTCCACTGTTACCTCAGTAAGGTTAAGACTGTTAAAAACAAAAAACCCTCACCAAAGTCATGCTTATGTGGTCTGTGAAAATATGTTCAAATTTTAGCAGACGTAATGTTGTTGAGCCATCCTGGTGGCCAGGACCCTGTGGCTCTCCATCTTTGATTATTTTATTGTCCCATACTGCATACTGCAAGTTGTAGGAGTCAATGTTCTTTCAACAATCCTGCCTTCCCAAATGTCCCAATTGTCCTTTGACGTGCTCTGTTTTAAATAAGGGCTGAAGAGCAATGGTGAGGCTACAGGCCTGCCATAAAAATACTGCACTGTTTCATGGCACTGACAGCACACACGTAGTCATGCTTTCAGCCCTCCTGGTGGGGACTGTTGCTGCAACATGCTGGAGGTGTGAGGGACCAAGCTGTAAGGAAAGGGAACTCTAGAGATTCCAAATTTTGAAGTCCTCTAATTGAAGACAAGTCTCTTTATGCCAGACAGTCTAAGGAAAATCTGCCTTACCCAGCCCATTTCTCCATTGTCCCCAGCAATAATAGAAGTGGACATGGTATATAAGATTGCCTTACACAAGGCAAATATATTTAATAGTGTATATACAAATTGATGGTTCAATAATGCTATACAAAGCAGGAATATCTTTAAAGAAACCCTGAGCAAAAAGGAGCATGTAATTTTTATTTTACACTTATTGCAACATTATTTCTGGTATTTGTTTGCTATAATGACTAATAAAAGGAATATGTTAAAACCAGATGTTAAAATAAAAGTGGGCATTCTTTCCATTTGTAGCTTATTAAAAAATCTAGAGAAGAGAGTTCTGCCCCATCAGCTTTGGAAATAGATGTTTAACGTGGTAGAGAACAAGCTGAGCCTGAGTAACCCAAGACAACCAATTCCTTTAGCAGAAAGAGTGTCTTCTGTCATCAAAAAGAGCCATCTGGAAGAGTGCTGGCTCCCTGCCAGGAACAACCCTTTAACAACCACTTGTCATGTGCTTTAAGTTAAAATGTTCACAGCGGCACAACCTGGAGTGTTGGTAAAGGTCCTATCGGAGGAGCAACGTATTCCTCCTCGCGCAGCAGCCGCAAAAGGATGTTCTTCTTATTCTTGGGCCAGTTATAAATGTGAGTGTTCTGCAGCCAGGTGGGCACGTGTTCCTGAAAAAAAACAAGGAAAATAAAAGCTAAATCCTTCAGAATCTCTACCAGAATCTTTCAGATTCCATCACACCCTGCCAAGGAAGATTTAATTCTGTCTGTTCTAGGCACTTCCTGTAACAACAAGAAATGTTAATTTGGCTTCAGAATTGTATTTGGGTTCCTAAATAAATGAACTTTGTGTGATCTCACAGCTTGCCTGTCTCTCTTCTGCCATCATGTTGGCTAATTTCACCATGTTTCAAAGGAAGTCTGATGTCAATGACAGGCATCGAAAAGCTTGTGAAAATAAACAGGGAGAGGAGAGGAGAGGAGAGGAGAGGAGACTGTAGTGCCCTTAGCAGGGAAAAGCTGCCACCTTAGTATCTGCTAAAGGATCCATACAGCATGTTCAACATTGGGATGAGGATCAATAGGGAAAGACTGGGACCCCACAGGAACATTTCACATGCTGGTAGCCCCCTCCCCTTTCTTCACCAAGCATGGTGTGCTCTGACCAACTGAGCAGAAGGCTGAGGCCAATGCTGAGCTGGAGGAGAGACTAATGCATCTCCAGATTAGCAGGGTCAAACCTCCTCCAATCCCTGCATCCTGGAAAAGGTGCAGTCCTTCACAGGGGTTGGCTACTGTCCATTAACATAATGGAGCTGGGACCAGCATGGCACTGGAGAGTGACAGTGGCTGATGGAGATGAGCCTGCTCAGACCTCATGTTCCTGTGTTCCCACAGCCTCGGGAAGTTTCCATAGGGATAGCCTGGCTATGTAGGGGTGAAGGGCTATTATAATATCACTAATTAACAGGGGGACAGATCCTTGACCAAAACCAGTTCATGGTCACCATGAGACAGAGATTTGTTTTGGAATTGGAGATAACAGAACCTAGCCAAAATGAGATGGCAGGTAAGCAACATGAGGAGCCAGGACATCCAGCACTTGGTCCCTGCACCTCTTATTTAGCAGTGTTTTCCCAAGATAGCCTCTGTTAGGAGCAGCACAGCTCCTGTCAAGCTAGTGGAGCTAGCTCCAAGAGGACAGAGCAAAAGCTGCTGGCATGCACATCTCTGGCACCTCGCCAGGGGATGCCCTGGCATGGGCTGAACATGTCCTGCTGCCAGCAAACAGCCTAGCTGCAGTCCAAACCTTTCATTCCCATGATCATGCTTCTCAAATTGCTGTCTTTTCCTTGGCTTGTACAGCTGTGGGAATAAGGCTGCATCATTTTCCCTGCTCAGGGAGCAGTTTGTGTTAATCGATGCAACCACTCTGTTAGAGCTACAGGATTTATGTATAGGAAGAAGGAGGCAAGTCGCACAGGCACCTACAGAGCCATTAGTGTGAACTCACCTAGGCTTCTGAACAAGCAGCTTTGTGACTGGCAGAGGTTATCTATCAAGCCTGACCCTCCTCTCTCTCCAGTGGCTGAGAAAGGATAGGCTTTGGTCAGTAGTCTCCCTGAAGTGGAGGTTGTTCTTCCCCATGGACATCTCACTGCACAGGGGTAAGATCCCACAGCATTCCCTTTGGTAGGAGCAAAAATAAGTCTTCTTGCCTCCACCTGCTAGTCTTTTTATTTTGGCATAGGAATGGATTTTAATCTTTGTGAATTTAACTCCTTTAACAAAGCTCTTTAGAATTGGCCAAGAGATTCAAATGTTCCTGGGAGAAAGATAACTATGTTTGCATGCACATGTACACCATTGTTACATGGGATTTGTTTCTTTACTAAATCTTGTAAAGAGCTATAGAAGGAAGTGCAATTAAATATGGCAGGGGTTTTACCAAATGAGCCCTTTTTCTACCTTTGATAAGAAACTACATTTTTTGGACAAAGGAAATACAGTAGATATAGTCAGTCTAGACTGCAAAAATGCATTTGATAAAGGTCCACATGGGTAACTCATTAGTTAAGATGGAAATTAGTGTGAGAAATGTGTAGTAGGTCAGAAATCAGCACGTGGGGATATAATGAGAGAGGCACTATTCAGCCAGAGACAAGCTCTGTGCCTTGTTTCCAAAACTGCTTGTGCGGTTTTGTTTAATACCCTCCATAATAAAGTCAGTGCAAAAAGCTCTTGGACATGAATCAGCTCTGGTAATAGTTTGGACTTGAGGGAGGTGTGTAGGGGTAAAGAGTAACTATAGCTGCTGTTTTTATCCAGAGTGAGAAAGGGGCTTTTCCTTACCACACAACTGCATCTGTCACTGCAGGTGGGAGTAATGGGAAAATGGTTACTGTCTTTTACATTTTGAAAATTTGGCTGTGTATCTGTGAGCTGAGAGGAAATTCTCTCTATGCCATAGGGAGAGTATTTGATAACTCCACAGTTCAGACTGGGAGGAAGAGGGCAGAGTGTATTGGTGCAGAGGACAGGACTGTTCAGAGCTGTGACAGCAGAGCATGGTTTGACATCTCCTGCCTTCCCTGGCACCAGCCCTGTTCTTCTCACCCCTTGGCTGCTTCCAGAGGAAGCCTCTAGTATGGGACAATCTTGGCTTAACGCTTTGGTCATCAGGTGGCCAGATGAGGAGGACACATTTCTGTGGATTGTTGTGATGCCAACCTTGAACCAGCAAGATCCATGTTTCCTTTAGCAGTGTACCACTGGATGCTGGAAATGCCAGTTCCACCTTAACCGCGTGTTGTGCATTCCTCGGCTCATTATTCAGCTTCCTAATGAACAGCTCCTTGGATCACACAGATCTCTTCCTGTTGGAGGTCGACTAATTTTCACATACCAGCAGTGCTTTATGATGTGCTGTGTATGAGATTAACTCATCTAATAGCCCCATCCCCAGATGAAACCTCCAAATCTTCCTTTTCTGCTTTTTTCCACTGCCAGCTATGCTAATACTTGAAGGTATAAAGGACAGTATAAAAAAGACAAAACTGAAGTAATTTGCCCACCAATATAATCCAGTTGTACACATACTCAGCAGTTTTTCAGGTACCTCACTTCCTCTGACTGCCTCCAGACTTCATTACTGCAACTTGTTCAGGCTCTGGTGCTCTCCTTCCACCCATGATGTCCCTCAGTTACATTACCATTAAGCAGCTAGATGAAGGTAGGTGATGTACCAAAGGATTATGTTGAGAAAGAGACTAAAGCTTAACAGCAGTAGAAAATGCTGATCTGCATAATTTAATGAAAAAGGCACCTCTTGAAAAACTGAAGGGTTATGTGGACTACTGATGGGCAGGAAGGATTCCTGGAGCCTGATGCCTTGATAGAGGCAGCTGGATAAACCAGCCTTGAAAATTCCTTACAGACCACTGTCTAAGAGAACTGCTGCTATACACTAAATAGTCTTCTGATAAATAAAGTTGAGCCCAAATTAACATAACTTACTGTTCTGTCTCAGAGCCCCAAGACAGCTATAGTGCCTCCTGGGACACTTTTCTCTGCAACCCCTAAGGTGCCATGTGGCTCTAGACTCTGTGGTCTGTTCACATGGTGGGCACTCAAGTAGCCCCAGGGTTAGGAACCCTTTTCCCCCATCAAAGACTGACTGAATAAATGCTGCTTCTCTGCCTTTGGCCTGTCCAATTCCCACCACTGCTGTCTTCCAGGTACTTCAGGTAAGTAGCAGATTGAGATAATTCAGGAAGTGATCTGAATGACATGAAATACCAGAGGTACTGTTCAACCCACAGGGCCTCACATATTTTACAAACCCAGGGACATATTTTCAAATTTCTGATCTTAAATCAGTGCTTAAATAAAGAATTTCACTGCACTAAAATCCACAAGCGCAGTGGGACTGCACAGCCTTGTAACCATTGATAACATTGTTTAAATTTTGACTCATGTTCCAAAATTTGGGCACCCAAAGAAATATAAAGAATTTTACGTACTTTTCTAAAATGCAGCTGTACCTAGGGGCAACATGATAGCTAGACAAGCATGCACAAAGCATTCAGTTATGCAATGCAAACATGAATACAATGCATGAGATTGAGAAAGCTGTAATTGAAGCCTTTTAATATTTTAGTCTTTGTAAAAATCCAATAGATTTTCTCAGTAAGGTAGAAGAGATGGGAATCTGATGCATTACTTATTCTCAAATGAATATTCAAAACAAGTAAGGAGGGCAGATGAACTTACAAGTCCTAAAAAATCTTGGTTTACCTTTGATTGGGCCCGTCAAAGTTCAAGAAACAGCCTAGTACTTTAGTATTTATTATACTCTTTATTTTTATATTCTCAACACACCCTCTTCCAGACCCTCTCTTCACATCAGTCATAAATCTTGCCATCTCACTCATCAGCATTGCATTTGGACAAAATTATAAAAGGGTTAATATAAAAAGCATGCTTCCTGGATAGATTGCCCATCTCCATTTAAATTCTTTCAGTGCTCAAAGCAATTTGAGTTTTAGTTGTATATTCATCATCAGAAATATATTTATACACTGATTTATATTGTGGATGAAATGTTTTTTATTTGCATGTACATAAATGCATGAACTTTGGAATACATAAACCTATAAGCTTTGAATATTATTTGCAGGCTATTAAGAACCAAGAAATTGAGTGTTTTGGTTTTAAGATTCCATCTGCTGCACTGTGATCAAAATAATATGCACTTAATCATGTGGAAAGTATATAAGCATGCATGTATGTTACCTTTTTGGCATTTGGGAAAAGCACAGGGATGAATCTGAAGTTCATACTTCCTTGTTGTATAAACTCAATCTGCATCTAGAATAGAACAAAAAAGCCAGTTTTACTGTAATGACATGACAATTTTTCTCTGCATGCATCTAAACCCTATGTATAAAAACATTCCTTGCTTACTTAAACTGCTCTTCTGTTAAATGAGTTGATGTATTGCTGGTGGACTCGGTGTTTGGTTTGGCCACTTAATCTAATTCTTCCTTGCTATAGAAAGGATACAGGAAAGATCTGTCAACATTTCTTGAACATTTTGTTTCATGGTCTGAAATAATTGTGGGTTTAGCTGCAGGTGCAATCCCATGAAATCCATCTCAAAGTGGTGAAGCCTGACTTGACTAACCCCCCTGCTTGGCCTACAAAGATTTCAGCCAGAGACAAGGTCTGTGTCTGAGCCAGGGCCCAGCCTGTTCCCCATGGCCCTGGACACAGGCACCCCAGGGCTGGTACAGACAGCAAAGTACTGCTGAGAGCTCATCTGCTGGTGACAGCTTCTGAGAAACCTGACTGCAGATTCCAACTGGGGGATCAGATGGGTTACAGGCTGAGAAAGGCAGCTAACTGCAAACCAAGGGAAAAAGGATCAGCTTCATGGCTCCATGGGCTCTTCTGGGCTAAATGTGCATCCTGTGACAGGCTGTGGGGATGGGTGTCTGGTCCTCTGGCACCTCTGTGCACTCCCCAGGAGCCCCACATTGCATCTCTGGCCTTTGCTTTGCAATTCCATCCTTCAGTCAACTCTACTGCTGCCTAAGAAAAGGCCTCAGCTCCAGGATGGCTGAAGCAACAGGGGCTGGTTTAGAGGGAGGAAGGTCAGGCACTGCTAGATAAGATTGTGCTCAGGGCTGTACAAGGGCTCAAGAAGGTAAAGGAGGGGAAAAACACTGAACAATAAAGAATATGAAGAAATAAGATGAGCATGTTTAATAGGATTTTTCTTCCTTGAACCTCTTAGCAGATGTTAATGAGCATACGGAGCTGATGAGAGGAAGGATTAATGAATTCCAAAGAGGGGTGTTTAACTATGGGGATTAGGGAAAACAAAGCAAAGAACCTGCCATTTGGAGACAGATTTGTCTTTTGAGGAGACAGTCTTTGTAAAACAGCAAATGCATGTCCTTATACGGAGCTGATGAGAGGAAGGATTAATGAATTCCAAAGAGGGGTGTTTAACTATGGGGATTAGGGGAAACAGAGCAAAGAACCTGCCATTTGGAGACAGATTTGTCTTTTGAGAAGAAGAGACAGTCTTTGTAAAACAGAAAATGCATGTCCTCGCTTACCATCCTGTGGATGTATTTAGTATGTAAGCCGTGTTCATCCCTGTCCAGCTGGGATTCAGCCCCTTCCACATCCTGTTTGTATTTTGGACTGATTGCTATGATTATCATCACCGTCTTCTGTTAGGGAGAAAAGCACTTTCATGAAATTGAGAAACGCAGCGTGTTTGGTAGAGGCAGATTGGAAATCTGCCAGTTTGTGTTTTAAGTGATCTTTGTGTTCCTGGCAAACACAAGAGGATCTCATTCATTCTGGCAGGAAATACAGGAGAACTCATACACTCGTTCTCCTCGTTATTTCTCGACATCTCAATATAGAAAATCGAAATGTCAAGAGATGTATTAGCAGCTACCAGTTGACACTTGGAATCCCTGTCATAAAAAGCTACTTTTTATCAGCGTAGAGTGTCTATGTACATACATTGAAAACTTTTGTCTTCAAATTCAGACCCAAATGTTTTCCAACAGCTTAAGCAGACGTGTATCTCTTTAGTCATCTATGGCTTTTTATACAAAAAGCTAATAAAGACAGCGGTCTGTGGAAGCTACTTCTAGGGCTCTCAGTGGCAGAAATGTTATCTTTTCTTGCTGATCTTAGTGGCAAAGTGTGCAGAGAGGTGGCTGTGCAGAGACGGGGGCTGTTGTGAATGGCCTGGGCAGGTTTAGGGGTACCTGGCAGCTCTGTCACGACGGGCTGAAGGCAATGCTCCTCCACCTTGCTAGGACAGCCCAGATCCTGCCTCTGACCTGTTTAATCCCAGCCCCACACAGAGCTCAGGTTTCCAGAGAGGGACCATCCTTTGTATCTGGGAAACATCCCTCCTCTTTAATGGCAGGCCAGTTGAAATGCAGCAGACGAAAGTTTCCTACTTGTGTTTACCTGGGGCCTGCCTGCCTTTCATCCCCAGCACATGAAGCCTGTGTAAGGCTTCCAAATCTTGCAGTCTGCCAGGCATGTAATTAACTCTTTCCTTCTGTGCTATATCAAGAGAATCTGCCCCACCGTAAGGTCAAAGGAGTCATTATCCCTTTCACTGAGTCAACATACTCCTGAATTACTTTTACTTGTGCTTGACATGTGTGTAAGAACTTACAGATGTTGAGGGTTTGCAAGAGACATGCCCAGTTGCACACTTTTCTCTGTTTGTGTCCAAGCAGTCCCTTCCTCCACACACATGTAAAGGTTTTGAAGTTAGAAACTGCCTCTACAGTCAGTGAGGGAAACCAAACTTTTCTGGGGTGGGTGGTCAGAGAGAGATCCTCAGGTGGAGGCAGGAGATTGTTCTCTGCACATACCAGTTTCTCCTACTGACTGTGCACAAGTCCCAGAGGAGATCTGCCAGCTTGTGTTTTAAGTGATAATGATGTTTTTGGCAAAAGCAAAGTCACCCTGTCTTCTGGTTTCATTACCTACATTACACACAGTGAGCCCAAACCTAATTTGTCCTGATGCAAGCCCCAGTAGGCATGACTGCATTTCCATGGCAGAGGTCCCAGGCTGGCTCTGCATGCAGCAGTATCTTGCCTGCATGGACACCTGCTGGAAACCTGTGTAGGGCTGGCTCAGATGGTTGGGCTTCCTTGCTCAGGTGGAGGACAGTCTACCACTTCTGTCATCTTGTTCCTGAACCATGGAGATCTGGCCAGAGTGAGTCAGATCTGGCCAGGTGGCCACTCAGCAAGGCAAGAATCCAAGAAAGGCAGCCCACAATGGCTCCTGTCCAGTGACAGAATAGCCAGTTTGTACCCAGCTGGGCTGGTACAGTCCAACCACTTGGCTTGATCCTAAAGGAGATGTGCACTCACTGCTCAGGGGAACTTCAGAGGAAGTTGTTGCTGCAAGGGACACCACTGTAAGCAAGATAAATCTCCATTTTACTGCTTAGATAGATACAAAGTGATGAGAGCAAATCTATATATCAACCAAAAGAATACCATTTTCCAGTTTAATGTAGGATGGTTTATCCAGAAGAACCCTTCAGTGTTTTAGATATCAGTGTGAAAGCTACAGGTGAGAAGGATGAACATTAGCCATGACTATGCAGCCTGGGATGAAATACAGATATTGTTGTAACCAAGCACAGCTAAACCCCACAATTTAAAAAGGGGATGGATGAATAACTTTTCCAATGGCAGCTTCAGACTGGATGTAACAGGCAGCATTAGAATTTCACAAGAACACTGGGATTAGCCTTTCATTTCTTAAAGAAAGAGCTTTGGGACCATCAGATACAGATGTCAGTGAGATTTGCCTCTCTCTGCAACACCTCTGCCATTTCTACAGTGGCAGGGAAGACAACAGTAGGGTCTTGCATTTTCATTCTGTCCCTGCTGTGTATTAGAATAATTCAACCATTTTCCTCGGGTCACCTCTGCTATAAACAAGGTTAAATTGCCCTTACATACATCACCTAGGTAGCGCTCCATCCACTTAATGATGTCAATACCTCGTACCGTGTCCTCAAAGATATCAATCTGCAAGAGAATGAAAGTCTGTAGTGAGCATCCCTTCACCTTTCCTCCCCATTTTATGGCACTGATAGAGCACCTGCTCCTTTCTTTGGTTATGATAAGAATTTCCAATTCCCTTAGGGAAAAAACGTGTACATGCACTTCTCCCCTTTCCATGCAGCCTGGAGTCAAGCTGGACAGGCAGCAGGCAGGAGGGCTGCTGCAGGCACCTCCTTGAGCTCCCACTCAGCTGGCCCTTTGACTGGCTGCCCTGCCAGTCCCCAACTCCCAGGCATTTTTTACTGGACAGAACAAGGTGCTGCCCACCCTCTCCATCTATATAGCTGCAAATGCCTGCTACTTTCTGACTGCAAGGGTACACTGAGTGTGAAGCTTTAGCTTCACATTGAACTAAATATTCAGGGTGTGATGTGGAAAGTCAGCCAGGTCACTGACAACTGTGTGCAGTCACCCAGACTTCAGTGACAGCAGTTTAGGGAGGACTTCATAGGACTGAATATCACCAACACTGCTTGCTCCTCTGCACGCCCAGCAGACCCAGAAACCAGCAATCAGTGACTGTGATCAGTGGAGTAAGTACTAACTTCTCCAAGTTTTTGGAGAAGATCATGATCTGCTCTCAAGTCTTTCTTTTTCCTTTTCTGAATGCAGAGAGCCCTGCTTTCTGGGCATTTTGGGGGCATTTTTCTGTATTTATTATTCTGCAACAGGCTCCAAGAGTTGCCTGTCCAGTAAAGGTGCTATTAATGAGCCTTCTACTCTGTAAAGCTATGGTGCCCAAAAGCTTTCTTATGAATTGGTCATAGTACAGAACTGCAGGAGAGAAGTATAATTGCAGTCTCTGTAAAAAAAATCTTTGATTCATGAAAATAAATAAGCATGTGCAAAGCTCCCCACTGAGTCTCATTCAGTTTAATGATAGCCACTTGCTTAAATGCTTTCCTGAATTGGAGCCAAAGAGTGAAGGTTGAGGGGTCAGATAGCACATGCTCCTGAAATAAGAAAATATGAATCAAGATTTTGATGAACACTGAATCCTAGAGCCTCTGTGGGCCTCTAAGATGAAGCAAACTCATGAGAAATTCAGTAAAAATCTGAATGGCTTATGGGATTAGAGAGTATGACACAGACCTTTTCAGTCCAATGATTTTTAGAATTCCTTTTGAAAATATAACAAAGCAAAATCACTTTTAAAGCGATAACAAAGCAAATGAAACCATGAGATGGGCTGTTTCATTAAGCTGTGTGAATTTTAGAATCTACTTTTTTAGCAGAAAGTTACATCTGAAGAATCAATTATGTAATAGCATTGGAGAAAATAAAAGGTAGGATGGGAAGAACATAAAACTGACCTTTTGTAATACTGACATTACAGATCAAATATAAGGATATTAATGGAATATCTCACAAAACCTCATACTATTGCCCATCTGGTGTTGCTAAGTGAAATTTTCCAGGATCATTATTAAAGCATATTTCAAAGCACAAAATTCAGTTAAAAGAAGAATAAACAAAAAGGCAGATCATTTAAATTTTACAGCTTGCAAAACCAAGGCTTGTTCATCCTATCTGTATCTTCTTTAGCCTTCAAAATGTGATGATAACCAGAAAAACATTTAAATGGACAGTGTATGGCCTCTGCTTTTTTTTTTTAAACCTCTTCCCTAGTTGAAAGTCTTTTTTTTTAGGAGGAATACTTACAGCAGTTTGAAATCCATTTACAGACAGGAAGTTCACAAATTTCATAACCTCCACTGCCGTATCCACCGAGTAGGTTATAAAGACCTTGCCTGGGAGAGAGAGTCTGGATGAATATGTAACACATTTAAATACACCATTCAGAGGGTGAGATGGTCACAGCCCTCCTTTAAATACACCATTCAGAGGGTGAGACTGCCACAGCCCTCCTTTAAATACACCATTCAGAGGGTGAGACTGCCACAGCCCTCCTTCTCCACCATGCTGCAGGTTCTGCCCACTTAGGTCTCTTTGGATTGTTTACAAAATGGATGTGGGATAGTACAGTGGCTCAGCGTTGAAACCAACCCCCTGTCACAAAGCCCTGCTCTAGATTTGAGCTCCTCCTGCCTTACTGGAAAGCTGCAGAGGTTAAATCTCTCTGCTGCTCCCCCTGCCCTGTGGCCAGAGCTGCTTTTTCCCAGTGCTTGGGCATACCTGAGCCTGGGCTCTCACCCACAGCTTGAGTTACCTGCACTGGCTGCAGCCAGCACAGCTTTCCCCAGACCCACTGATATGACAGAGCTGGAGGGGCCCTTATGCATGTCATACTGCCACTCCTTGGAGCAGCATTAACACCCTGTGCAGGCAGGATGCAAGGCTGGTGACAGCAATGTCCTTGCCCTTGTGGGAGGGGTTTTCATGGCTTTGCATCAGGGTAAAGCAGCTGGCTGATCTAATCCAGCTGTGCACGTACCACAGATGACCCTGTTTTACCCAGTAATTCCTCCATCTAGGACACACTAACTGATAAAGTAGGGTCTATCCCAGAGTGACATCTGGTATCATAACTCACTCCTACAGGCCAGAGAGGTGTGACTTTCTGATCTGAAAGGTGATAAGCAGAATAAAGAATAAATGAAAAATCAAAGCCTCAGGAGAGCTGTGGTGGGTTCTTATCAATGGTACATCTCACCTACTAGTCAGATTGGCATTCAGAAAGAAGCTATTTTTCTGAAACCCAACTTTCCCCTAAGAGTTGGAGGGTGAATGCATCTGTGGCGTTGGTGGCAATAGAAACATCTCAGGCAGAGCCTGTGCTGCCCTGAGCATGTCCCAGAGTCCTCTCCAAACTCACCAGTTCAGGGAGAAACTGAGGTCAAGGTTCAACGTATTTGTCTGGTTTGGGACAGGCAGAAACACTTTATTCCTCAGGCTTTGTTTGTTTTTAGTCTTTTACTGTAAGCTCCAGCCCCTCCTGCCTCAAAGGGACATCCTGTTTAGCAACGAGTCATGAAAACAATCTAAGCAGTATTTACTTCTTGTAAACAAAATAACAAGCAATTAATGACCATTATGTTTTCAGGATTCAAGGGGGTAATTCCATCCCACCAAACACAGATGCTCACACCCAAGAGATGTGATGACACTTGGTATTTTCTTTTGTTGTTGTCTTAAAGTCATTTCCCCCTGCCTTCTCCTCCCCCCTTCAGCACTCTGGAGCTCTCCCACCTAAAGCTGTTAGGCCATGCTGTAAAATCTTGCACAGAACAAATTTGCTAACCACTTACGCAACTCCTCCGGCAGATTGCTGGTTCTCAGAGTTCCCCTGGCTGCAGGGTTACTGAGAGGTCTTGGGACAGCAGCTGGAGATGGAAAATTGTCAGAAGGACAACCACAAGCTTCATCCAGGCCACATGCCTTGGGGGGCAGCTGACCATTAGGTAGCTGGTTGTATAGCTGGTTTCTACAAAGAAAAGCAATGGAGGATTTAGAAAATACTTATTTTTAGGCAAAATTCAGAATTTCTTCTCCTGTTAATAACACACTAACAACTTTATCTGCGTATCAGCTATGAAAAGTTCTTGCAGAAATGCTTGGCTCAGCACATCTGCTTGGTTATTACAGTGTCTTTGGAACGGATACCTTGGTGACAGGCCACCACAACAAGCAGTTTACCGGAGAAACATCAATCACAGGAAGTAAGTCACATCATAGCTGAAAGCTGTTCATTTTGCAGTTAGCAGAAGCAAAGGCTGTTTCTGAGTGAGAAATAATGGCATGTCGTGGATGTTGTTATGCATGCATGGGAGCAGGGTGGCCCTTGAATAACCTCTTCCCATTATCCAAAGGTAAAGAACACTTCATGGCACCTCAGATGCTCTCACGATGTCCTGTGCAGCGCAGGAGGCTCAGAGAAAGCTGGAAACTGGGAAAATGGGTCTACAAGGGCATTCCAACTCCAGCTCCAGCTCTGGAGGGCCTTCAGGATTGGACAAACCCAATGTTTTGCCAATGGGAACAAAGTTAATTTCTTGACCAGCAATGGCAGACCCAAACAAGGGTTTCTCATGTTAGGGACTGGCTTTCCAGACCTGCCAGAATCTTGCCTAATGTCTTCTCCATTGTAGTAAACAGACAGAGAGGGATGATTTTAGGAAACTTAGCAGTTCTTGTCCTACTACACTTTGGCTTCAGATTTTAAGTCAATGGGAAGGTGAATCTATAGAGATTTTTATGCGAGGTGTGCCTGCAATCTGCTGGGTTGAATTTGTTGGATGAGTTTTAGGTTTCTCTGAGAGCTTTTCCCCACAGAGCCGTGATGCTTAGTCAATCAAGACCACTCTCTTTTTTTTCTTAGCCTTCCTTAAATGAATGATGACAGGCTGGTCGCAGCATGTTTTCTGTTGTCACATTAAGATTTGGTTTATTCATTTCAGTGCAGATGTTTTCTGTTACAAAATACTCCATAGGCAAATATTACCAACATATAACTGCTGTTCCTGGAGTCAGCCTGCAAGCAGCAGCCACGCAGCCGCAGGACAGACCCCAAGTATTCTGGATCTCTTTTAGCAGAAGAAAATACTAACAAAAGTAACACATGCCTCATTGGATACAAAAACGCTACCAGTGGCTAATTTACAGATTTTCCCAAAACTCCACCTTATCTAACAAATATCCTGCCAAAAATCAGGAGTTTGGTTTTAAATTTTACTACTGCAAAGGATACCCACTATCACCCAATATTCTTACATTTTTGTACAAACTCTTCAGTGCAATTCTCTCTGCTGCAGGTACTCCCTGATCTTGCTGTCACTTTTCTGTTACAGCCCTTAATTTTTCATAGGCCAGAGCAGAATGATATTTCAACTGTCTGCCCTTTTTTGTCCTGCCGATTCTCACAGTTCCCTGCCAAGACCATGTCACATAAGTGGACATTTTCAAGCACAGATGCCTGTAAGTTTAACATTTCTAAAAGTATTGTGGCACTTGAATAAAAACAGTCTGATTTCAGATATTCTCAAAACCTGAAGCTTCAATTTGTTTTTAGATAGCTGAGTCTGAAGGAACCCCTGCATGAATAGGATTTCCCATCTGCTAATGAGATACTTATAAGATTATAAGGCCTGGTAATTAATATCTGAAAATCAGTCAAAAAGCCCTGGATGAAAAGTGCCAGACATTTTGCTATGAAAAATCATAGAGAAGTCTGCAAACTGCAGTGTAGAGATGTATCAGCAACTGATGAGATTTTCTCCCTTTTTCTCTGCACCACAGAAGAGGTAAGAAGGAAATCACTGGAAGGTAATGATTGAGTTGTCCCAGGCTGGTACAGGGTAAAGCTGAAGACCCCAGCAAGCCACCAAATTGACCTTTGCCCGTGAGCAGAAGAGCTCTAAGGTTTCAACTGAAATATTTTTCAACCCCTCATCCCTTTAACCTTCAAGCATTTATCTTCCATAAGGCATCTGTTTCAGGGTGTGCTCTAACAACGTGTCAGGTATCTGGCTTTGAAGTCCTTTAGGAAAGGGTCAGGCCCCCAGTGGGTGTAAAACAGCAAATAAAGAAAACAACCCAGCATCTCACATGTACTCCTGCAGCCTGGGCAAGCTCACAGTGCAAGGATTTGGAATTACTGGTTGAAAGCCCACAAAATCAGATGAGAGGAACTTCCACTTCCCAGAACCCCTGCCCCCCCCCAGTCAATACTTACGGGAATCGAGGAGGACCAGGGGAGGAGCATGTCCTCTGGGGTGGTCGGTCTCCAGTGCCTTTGGGAGCACGGGGGTTTGAGTAATTTGGGATGACTTGCTGGGCCGGGCGGATAACTCTCATGCAAGGTCCAGGAACAGGAGGAAGTGGTTGCGATGGCTCAGCAAAATGTTGGTAAGGAGCTCTGCCATCTGGGAGGGTGAGAAAATAAAGGCAGCAACTATCATTTCAGCCAACACATTTTTGCCTCAGTTTGTGTTTATTCTTTTCCAGGCATGTCTCAGGAAACTGAGCAGTTTGGAGGCATTTGCAGGTATCTCGCTCTGAAAGAAGCCAGATGAAGGAATGTTTTGGAGTCTAAAGCTTGCAATTTCCCATTCACATACGGCACGGTTCAGATCCCTGCTCGGGGTTGGGCTGTTGGGACAGCTGACAGTTAAACATTCAGGGCTGCCTTGTCCCTGCGCTGACTGTGCCTCCGTGTTTTTTGGTAGGGTTTTTTTAAAATTTCTTTTTGGCAATGACTTGTGAAAATGAATCATCCCAAAGTTCTCATGAAAGCAGATGCAAAATCCTGGAACAAATCAGTTTGCAACACTAAGGCTAAACAGACTGTGATTATTGTAAATGAAAAGAGGAAAAATAATCGCTTAGTTTGTTACTTCACCCTGTGTGAATTTTCTGTCAAAGTGACATTTTAAGGACTTGCTGCTGCTCCCGTTGCCATCCGAGAGGCTGCAGGGGAAGCCCAAAGTGGTAATTTTGTTCAAGCAATTCTGAAAACCTTTACTGTTGCTGGCCACACATAATACTGATTAATAACTATTGTACAGTGGAACTGTTGGCATAAACTGAAAGAGAAAGCAATGTAAGCTGTTTGTTTCCCAATTGGGGAAAAGGAATTTTTTTTTTCTCTCAGTCTTTCTGCTTGTGGTTTTCATTAGGCAGCAGCTCTGTGCACTTCCAAGCTGCTGTGTGCAGATCAAAGTCCAGCCTGGCAGGGCTTATTAGCACTGCATGATTATGGTGTTATGAGCTGTCTCTAAAAGCTGCAGTACTCAAATGCTCTGTTCCCCCAAAACTGTTTCTTAAAGTTCTATTTTTGGCTCATGCCTTCCTTTCCCTAGCAGCCACGAGGACCATCTATCTTTTTTTTTAAGGGGAGGATAAAGAAAGAAAACAAAGCTTTGATGGAATACTCCAATTCCAGGAGCCAACACTGAACAAAAAAACCCCTCCAACCAACCCCATGATTACACAGATTCCTGATGAAATTGTGAGTCAGCAACATTGTATTTGTTGAGATTGTTTGAGGAGATTTTCCCACCTCCCTCTTATCTATTTGCAACAGGACCAGGTGAAAGGGACTGGCAGAACCACTCCCAGTCAATATGGTTTCCTCCTGGATTCCTCATGACCAGATGTAGCGAAGGTGACAGGGATTTGGGACACTCGGTTTGGTTTGGAGGTTTTAAGACCAATGTTTCACCAGCTTCTTTTGGATCTGTCTGCTGCTACAGTATATTGGATGCAGCCACAGCTCAAAGCACAGCGTGGCCAGGCATGTGTGCCCACACACCCCCACATCCCTGAAAGACAAAAATCTGAAATTATGGTCCCCGGGCACACGGCATTGTTGTGAACGTTTCTTTGACTTCAGAAGCAGTTTTGTTGCTGTATCTCAAATAGCAGGTGCCCTAGCCAGCTTAGAGCCTCCGGGCACAGTTGCTATTCCCCAGGGGAGGTGCAGAGCTTTGTTGTGGGTTGCCACTGCCCAACAATTATCTGAGACTCAAGGAGCTGTCAGGAGGTGATTTACGCTGTAGCAGGCATGTGAGAGAGAAACGGGAGTACAGTTGCCAGCTTCTTGGTCCTGACCAAATCTGCTCCAGCCATCTGAGTTTATTTTACTCTTTTTGCCCTCTGGATATGGCTGGAATGGTAGTGATTTTTCTGAAAAAAAAAGCCTTTCAGAGTTCCTGCTTTCAAACAAAATGTCCTCATTCAGTAAATGTCCTACTTCTCACGATGCCTGCTTGTGGAGGAGGTAAACGGAGGTAAACAGTGAGGGGTGTTGTGCAACCAGCCCTTTGTCTGCTTAGAGCTGAACTGAAAGGAGAAGGTAGGAAAGGAAAACCCGAGGACATTTTCCAAATGTTAAACTGTAGATGTTGTTGAAAGTCCATCTATAGCCCCTTCCCCTTTACAAAGTTCCAAAATCAGAGCTGGAAACCGAGTTTCTGAAACCCTCCTCTTTCATATACCTAATTATAGCACATAGCTGAAGTGACAAAACTCCCTAAACAGATGCAATGTAAATGCTGTGGAGTCAAAAAAAGGTTAAAAAAAAAAGAAAAAGGTTTATCAGAACAGGCCTATAGCTTTTTATTACAAAGCCAGCCCAAAACAGGTCAGGGTCTCATGAGCCTAATGTAATATAAATTATATTAAAACAATGATATTGCTGTTGAATGTTCA